ATACATGAGAGAATCTGCTTTGTAAGGGTTGCAATAAATGATAGCTAAGAATCCCTCCAAAATACTAAAGAAAAAAACATACTTGGGATGGTATGACGAGACAAATATGTTTCTATACAACAACCAGCGCTCTTAAATGTTGTAGAAACAATTGTCTCATTGCTTGTTTTTACTCCAAACCGAAACATAAATATGTTATAGTAATATAATGCATATAACATATATATATATATATGTGTGTGTGTGATTTGGTGCAATGTATTATGTGATGGCTACAGACTTATGAGCTAGTGCTACTTTACTTCCCTTATCTAAATCAAAGGGAAAAGCATATATTAAAAGGATAGGTACGTCACAAAACCACTCAAGTTGGGGCAGAAGATTCCCAACACTAAACCCTACCCATGGTTTCTTTGTTTCTGCTAATTAGATTAGTTTGGACGCTAACCTTTTCGTTAAATATGAACAAATTTTGGCTTAATCATGCCTCCTATCCATTACAAGTACTGTACTGTCCAATAGATTTTGACTATAATACTAATATATTTCACATCGTTCGGGCAATCCCTTACCATCACTTACCAATTAATTACTTTTATCATAAAGTGGCGGGGCAGAAACCCTAATTGGTGCTCCACTCAGAGTTTGTGATGTCAATCTGAACCATATATACACTGCAAGTCTGTAGAGGCTTTTCCATGAATAGATGTGTCCTGTCCGGTAATAATCTTCTAGGTACTAATGAAAACAACGAATTTAGTGGTTAAAAAGGAAGATTAAGTACAAAAGTTGAATGGACATCTCCTTAATTATCTGTTTGAGTTTTGTGAAAAGAAAGGTGATACCAAAGTTAACTCTGCAGAGAAGAATTTCAACTTTCTAAGTGGCTTTGAGTGACAGAAAGGGAATATATAACGTGATGAAGTAAAATTGGTTTTAAATCGTGTTTAAAGGGTAATTACAATTTACTAATTGCGTTTAGGCCTTTATGCATGAAATTAAAGTACAATGTAGAACATGGAATCCATGACACAGCAGAAAAAGGAGAGAGAATATTGTTAAAATACTTAAGCGTGACTAAAACAAAAAACGTTGGTATAAAGTTCATGTTTAAGCAAAAATTTGGGTACCAAATGTCAGAAAACTAGGAGAGAATAAAGTTGAATTCCACATTAAGTTTGCTTGCAACGCATTCCTCATTTTCCTTCGTAAAAATTGCCATTAAATCATGCACTTTATACTTTTTTATTTCTAAATATTATGAAACTTACATAATTTTTTTTATTTTAAAGAATTATAATATCAGAGTTTAAACGTCTGTGTGACACAATGTCTAAAGCAGCCACAAAATTATTAGATTTATGATTAATTTCTCATAAACCAAAAACTACACAAAGGTATTTCTCCTTTTTCTACTTGTCTGACTTGTAGCAATATATCTTTTTGTCTAAACTGTGTAATGTGTATAAAGAATCCATCACCATTGACAACTTTCATATGTAAAATGAACCATTAAGAAAATTACACAGGCACGAATATGGTACATTACGTGTTTTAATAGAAGTTGTGGGAAATTTTATTTTTTAAGTTATTAACTTTTTAGCACACATATCCCACAATTAGTATAGTGACATGTGACGGTCAAATTGAAAATCTGTCGTGACTCGTGAGTCACGAAAGATGCTTAAAGATGAGAATTAAAACCCTAGCCAGCTAGCTGGTTACAAACATCAACTCAGCATGCATGCCTTCCTACAACGAACCAAATAAATAATGAAGTCATGTTACTCATCTTTGATCCCTCACCGTATATGATGATGAACCCAGGTACTGTAACAGCAAAAGAAACATTTAGATTATCGTCTATAGAAAATTCAACCGTTACGTATCATTACTAGTCTTACATACGTAAAGCATCCTCATTTAGTTTTTTCTAGGGTTTTCGAACTTGAGACCTTTTTGTACACTCCTAATGTGTTGAAATACATATACAGATAGAAATAGGGTGGGAGAACGAAGGGACAAATGACGGAGGCAATGGGACCTGCTGGGCGTAGAAGGTGGCAAGCAAAGCATAAAGTGGTGGGCAAGCAAAGCAAAAGAGGATGGCTGTGTGTACAAAGGTGGGGGATATATTATAATGGCAAAGCACCAAAAAAAGCCGTAATCCCACACAAAATATTTTCCCAATGTTCCCTGACCCCTCCTCCCCCTAGTCACAATCTTTATCCACCTGAGTTGATTGACTTGCTAGCTAATTCTCTGTACTTGATCAAATAATTGATCCTATTAAGTCATTCCAAAGCTACAATTAACATTTCTTTTGTTTAGCTACAAAGCATGTGATGATCCTACCACTTACCAACTTATTATACACTGCCAGTTCTCTATTATTTCCTCTTGTCAGCTATGCAATATGTTTCATACACCTCTTTCTCTATAACTCTCCTCGTGTCTTTTCTGTTAATTAACCCCGACAAAATTCAATTTGCAGCTTTTTTAAATTGAATTTCTTAGTTCACTACATCATCAGCCAGTGCTACATGATTATGACTTTACAAAGTCTGCCCTAATTGTGCTTAAAAATCTCTTTTAAGCAGATTAGAAAGAGAAAAGAAACATGTTTGAGTGGAGAAAGTGGGGTTGCTACATATAAATATGGTTATTTAATTATGGTGGTATCAATTGGGACACAACATCAATCAGATCACTAGAATCATCTCTAAAAGAGATGTCAAAATGTCTACATAAGATATAACAGTAAAAAAATACCACACTAATGTTCTCCAACTAAAATGTCAAATCCTATGTGGCGATGACATGGATTGACAGCAAGAAAGTTGCTGTCAAATTTGACAACAACTTCAAAATTAATTATTAATGCTTTTTATTAAGTTTTTTATTGGTTTAATCATAATTGCAATTAATGTTGTTGTTGACCCGTTTCCCTTTTGTTCAGTTGAGGTAAATGAACGATCCCCTCTTGTTAAAAAGAAATGGTGAATGGTCCGGATTTCATAATTATTAAATGCATTTTATTAAGTTTTTATTAATTTAATCATTTATTTTATAATATAATAAAATAATAATTTAGTTTGACATGTCGGGTGGACAATAAAATTTAAAAAGATGCCAAAATGTCACATATGCTATCAAATTTAAATTTTATGTTTAAAATTTGACATCTCATTTGAAAATGCTCTAAGCAAGTGATGCAAGTTTTGCTGCCACTTTACCCACCAATTGCCTATTCTTTTCTATCCTAATCCAATGACTGTTGTAATATCATTTTCATTCGATACACATAATCTCCCTTTAAGACTAATTAACTTAGTGGGTTTTTACTCTGGCTTCAGATATGACCCAAGCATGAAACAAAACCCTAGAGTAGGAGAACAATGTACGGATACACTGTTATCAAGACGTCTTATGTCAACGGTTTAAACTATAAAGATATGTGTAAAAGAAACTTCTACCTAATATTATAAAATTGATATAAAATGTCACAGTAACCGTACATCTGTTTTATATAAGTTGTTATGCTAAAACAACGTATTTTGTTATATTTTGTTTTGTATTAAATTTAAGAAATTGTTATTAGCACTCTTAAAATCTCATTTGGCATTCCAAACTTTCTATAATTAAAAAGAAAAATACATTTGTCAGGAGTGTATAATAAATTTTTTTTAAATGCTAATAACAATTCCTTAAATTTAATGTGAAATAGTAAAGATGTTTAGTTTCATCATCCACCTAAAACATTCCCTTCTAGACACATTATTAGTTGAGGGTCAGAATAATAATTTATATTCCTCATCATCCCACATCTCAAAAAGTAATAAGAGTACAAATTACTGTTGTTAATCATGTTCTTCAAGTACCACTCTCTTACAATTGAAAATTTAGATATTCTATAATCCACTTCAGTGCAATATTGATCACATCTCAAAAAGTAATAAGAGTACACATTATTAGTTGAGGGTTAGAATAACAAATCGCATCATCTCTTCAAATTTAGATATTCTATAATCCACTTCAGTGCAATATTGAAAATTTTAAGGAAATAGTTTTGCTCACTACCTTTAAGCGGTGGTATTGTTTACTATTTTTTTTTTATTATTAGGTGAATTTAAATTTTGAGATATATATAATAGATAGACATAATTAAATCTTAAAATTAAATTCATCAAAAAGTAATAAATAGGATAGTAAACATTAAAAGATAAACAAAAAAACACCCAAATTATAATCATCGCCCAACAAGCTCATGGGCCAACATTGAACCCAGAAAAAAATAAAATAAAGCTGATTGGCCAAGAAAAGTTTATTGCTTCAGCAATAGGCACCACCTATTATATTCCTTCTTTTAGTATATTAATTGGAGCACTTCTATACGTTGTTTTCTTCTAAATTTGAAGAAGGTGTAACACTTAAATGGGAAATTATATAGCCTTACAAGGATGATAACTTGATAACATTTTTACAGTTGAAACTTCCAAATAAATAAAAGGTTTGAAAGTGTCATCTAATGTTAACGTTTCATTGTTAGACTCTTGTGGTTACACGAATGCATTCAATTTTAGATAACGAATTTGAATCACACATCATGATATATTTTATCTTGATCGGTAGCTTAGTCTTAGGCTCGCAATCTAACGAATTTAAATATAATTATCATAATATACACGATAGTGCTATTCATACATCTCTATTTATCTTTCACACCTTTGTTAATTTTTGTCCACTGATCTTCTTCAATTAATTCGATCTGATGACTAAAATTTAAAAAAATTATGTAAAAGATAAAAATAGATATATCGATAGTACCACCGAATATAAATTCATAACTTGGGCCCCAAGAATCATCGGTTCGTGTTTTTTATAGCCCCCAAACCCCTTAATGCTCTCCATCAGCATGTTCCAACCGTGAAGTGCACACAACAGAAAAACAGGGCCAAATCCGTGAAACAGTTAAAAAAAAAAAAAAAAAAAGCAGAGAGACAATCACTTTTCCCCTGCTATAAATACCATAACCCACCACCTCCATTTTCTTCAGCTCAAATTTCCTCACCTTCTTTTCATCGACTCAAAAACCTTCCAAATTTCCAAAAATCCAATTAAAAAAAATATATATTAAAATTTAAACATAAATATGAGAACCGTAATTGCTTTCTCTACTGCAACTCCGGTGGCAAAATCCCCACTGGAATCATCCCTGCCGCCAACTGCAACAACCATGGGGCGGCAGCAGCAGCAGCAGCACTCGCCGTGGCACTCTCCGGTGCCCTACCTATTCGGAGGCCTGGCGGGGATGTTGGGTCTGATTGCTTTTGCTCTGTTGATCCTTGCCTGCTCTTACTGGAAGCTTTCGAGCCGGTTGGAGGACAGAGAGGGAGGCGAGCGAGACCTAGAGAGCGGCGGCGGCGACGAGAAAGGCGACGGGTCGAATAAATCAGTGAAGGTGTTCGAGGAGAAGATTTTGGTTATTATGGCGGGGAATGAGAACCCAACTTTCTTGGCCACGCCGGTTTCCGTGTGCTCGAAAGCTGCTTCTTTCGGCGGCGCTGACGATCATGCCGACGAACAGGGGATGAGCGAAGAAGTAAATAAGGAGGAGAGCTCCGAGAAAGTGACAGAAGAAATAGGGTCCCATGATCCCGAAGAACCCGAAAATATTCGGAACCAAGACGATGAATCGGAGACTCAGCAGAGGCGATTACAAGAAGGACAAGTACAACATGAAAACCAGTGAGCTTAACTCAGCTTGCTCTGTTTCAGTTTTGGCATATATTTCTTGAGAGAGGAAGAAAAACAGAGTGCTCTGTTATTTTTCTGGTGGGGTTTGGGGTATTTCTATGTTTTGATCCGGAAAATGCAAATTTTGTATGAGATTTATTAGTTTTGATGAGATTTGACATTAAAGCAGAATTAATTAGTTGCAGTTGACGTTAGAGATTTTTGTTCTTATCTTTCCAGCTTAATTGTTAAATAGAGCCGTATTGCACTAATTAAGAAGGATAATTTATCTTTCTTTGCCTTTCTCCCCACGCATTTTCTAAACATAGGAAAAGCTTGGATTTGGAGCACAAGAAATTCTAACGATACTGAGTTCCATCTTGATGGAGGTTTTACGTTTAAATATCATGAACGCTAATGAAGCAAAATTAGGAACAAAAAACAAAATTAGCTACCAGTCAGAATCATATTATTATGTAAATCTTCTCCTTGAATACCACTAACTCAAAAACATTATGGGAATGAGATTGGTATAAAATGTTGTGGTGTCACGGAATAATTTTTTAATTGGAGACACTGTATTAGAGATAAATATATATATATATATATATATATAACATTTTATAAATAATTAAAAGTACGAGAATGACGTTCCAGTAAGATTATTTTTAGAAATTTGGGACATCTCCCAACTCCCAACTCAATGCCCGGAAATTTCAGATTGGGGCACGAGAAAGCTGAGAGACATACACGTGTATAATTTTGATTGGGTTTGGTCCACTGGAAAGCAACGTGTAGGCACGAATCTTTGAGTTGTCCGCTGTGCGACGCCACGCGAAGCCGCGTCCCCGCATTAAATGCGCGCGAGTTTTATCATGAGTCCGTATCATTTTCTCAAGGATTGTTTGTTCTCCATTTTCGGTGTTTTTCGCGTACTCTTTTGTTTTGTGCAGTTATAATTAAAGGCGTTACAATTATTTTGTAAACACTTCTAAATGAGTCATATTTTATTCAATTGTTCACTTCACTATATATAAATTAGCCCAATCACACAAATTGTGTTACCACAAAGGAAAGAAAGCTTAATATAGCATTTGCTCTCAAAGACAGATGAAGCGCAGGTGTTTATTCCCTCTGCTGATATTGCTCATCTTGCTCTTCTCTAATGGTATATTAACATCTAATCTCTTCTTAATATCGGTTTCTTTCTCTACTTTTTGCATTTCCTAAATTGTTTCGTCATCATGTGCACTTGAAGGAGAGGAACGAAACTGCTCGAATGCTCCGATCCCCGTTAAAAAAATGCTCAAAATATAGATGTGTCATAGCCTGCATGGACGACTATAATCAAAGCTTCATCAATCGTGGTTGCATGGATTACTATACATGTTGCTGCAAAGATTTAGAGTAGGGTACTCGAGCTCCTGTGGCCGATTCTCCCTCTTCTTGTATCACTTATATCCGAAGAATAATAACAACAGTTGACAATAATATTTGGCTTTGTAGCCTAATTTAATTGTTATAACAAATCCAACAATTGTTTTGCAATAGACTAAGGGGAGGGGATGATTTGAACTCGGGACGCAGTTGATTTAAGGTAAAAGCCTTATCCACCAAAGCAATCCACCACTTGCTAACAAATGCAACAATTAAATTCCGCCAATAAACGCTATCATCACTTCTTACCAGAAACTTCATCCGGGGTTTTGGTAGTCTTCTGACTGCATGAACTGTGTTCTGAAGCTCCGCCCATATGGCTTTGTACACCATCCTCTGCCTATTTACAGCCCACTGTCCCTCAAATGATGAGGAGACGACATCAATGACCACATGCCCGCCATCCCCGTTCATATCTTCGATTTCTACAGTAACGGATTCCGCATTTAGCTCCCCCTTGATCTTTTTTCTTCATGGATTCTATTAGTGGGGAGTCAATGGAGCCAGCATTTCGGACGCTTGAAGCTCGAGGACTGAATCTCCTCACACCACCGTATTCCAATCTCATATTGCTCCTGTTTTCATTGCCAATTGCTCTATCGTGCAAACAATCTGATACTCTGGCTCTTAAATACCAACAGAGTTTTCCTTGGTTGAGAAAGTAAGGATGGCAGAGCTCGAGTAAGGGCGCACCATGATTGAGTTGGCGGCCATTGTTCCCTGTCTACACCTCTACTTGAAACCCTAATAACTCTAAGCTACGTAAGGTCGCACTCTAATGCAAGAATTGAGCGCCTGCACGAATATGATGGTACGAATTAAAATTGGAAAGAATAAATGATACAGCAAACATCAAGTTTTGCTAACCCAGTTTCATTTGAACATTACCCCCTGCAAGTTCGAATAACAGTCAATATTAAGCCATATGGGACTGCTTCTGAAAGCGCTTCTAACTGCGTTTGGCAGAAAAACATAAAAACGCTTTTACTCATATTATCTTTTTGAAGAAACTCAACATTTTTATAATACGAGCTCTTCTAGTATAAGCGCTTATGAGCAGGTTCCTATAGAAGCATTCCCAAACAAGCGCTTAAGAATCTGTTTGGAACTGCGTTTAGATAACCAACTAAAGGCGCTTCTAGTAACATTTGGCAAAAGTGCTTTCATGAGAAGCATTTCCAAACTGGCCTTAAACTAAAGGGTTCAAATTTTATCACTAGCTGTACCAAAGGAAATAATCATTTCCCAGTTGTTGCAGAATCCTTCAACTAAATTCACATTAATCTTCAAAACTCACACTACCAAATCCAGTGATTACCCCCTAATTTCCATATTTAATTAAATCTTGACTAACCCATAAAAAACAATCCACTTTTGAAGCCGTAAACAGTAAAAACAGAAGAAAAACCAGCACCGAGGTTAAAAAATAAATATGTAAACTTGCAACCAGAAGTATAGCAGCCTATATATTCATAAATTATGGGAAAAATGATGAAAAACATAGAAACGAGGGAAGAGGAAGCGTACTTACCTCGCATGTGATGATCCTACCACTTACCAATTATACACTGCCAGTTCTCTATTATTTCCTCGTGTCAGCCATGCAATATGTTTCATCCACCTCTCTCTGTATAACTCTCCTCGTGTCTTTTCTGTTAATTAACACTGACAAAATTCAATTTGCAGCTTTTTAAAATCGAATTTCTTAGTTCACTACATCATCAGCCAGAGCTACATGATTATGACCTTAAAAAGTCTGCCCTAATTGTGCTTAAAAATCTCTTTAAAGTGGATTAGAAAGAGAAAAGAAACATGTTTGAGTGGAGAAAGTGGGATTGTTACATATAAAGATGGCTATTTAATTATGGTGTTATCTAGGGGTGGATTCAAAAAATCGAAAACTGAACCGGACCGAGGCCGAAAAAAACCGAACCAAAATTGTCAAACCAAACCGAACCGAATCTGGCCAGTTCGGTTTCGGTTTTTGAGGTTCGGAAACCAAACCAAACTGATATATATATATATATAATTATTTTTTCAATATTATAAATAGTTTAGTATACAATCATAACAAAACATAACCTGTTGCCAAGTTGGTTTCTTGAAACTTTTCAAGATGCAGTGCATGGGTTCGAACCCTTATGTCCAAGATTTTAGAGAAGTTTTTTAATTTTTTTGAGAAATCAACAAAACCCTATAACCCTAGCCACTGATAGTCTTCTCTTTCTCGTTCCCTGCTTCCAGTGTAACCCTAACCCAGTAACCCTCTCGCGCAGCTGAGCCTCCTCTCTCTCGCTAGGTCTTCAACTTCAATCGCTATGTCTCTCTCAATCTCTCAGTCAACCCACAATGGCGCGACCCTTCTCACTCTCAATCTCTCACACCTCGCCCTCTCGTCGTCAGTCTCTCATCTCGCCGTTAGCTTTTTCTTGCCCTTTCGAGTCTTGACAGCAAAGGGTAGCCTCATCTTTTTCTCTCTCGGTCTTCAACTTCAATCACTGTCTGTCTCTCTCGATCTTAAATCCCAAGCGACCCACGACGGCGTGACCCTTCTCACTCTCAATCTCTCACACCTCGCCCTCGTCTTCAGTCTCTCATCTCGCCGTGAGCTTCTTCTTGTCGTTTCGAGTCTCGCCTGTAAAAGGTTAGTCTCATACTCTCATTTCTCTGTGTTTAATTTTCTGTTCTATTTATCTATTGAAATTGGTTCTGATTAAAGAGGTATTCATTTCATACTTTGCATTTTCTATTAATCTGCCGATTTTCTGGATTTATTAGTGTTATGAGATCCATGAATGTGTGCTCATTTTCAGTGTGATTGTTTATGGGATTTCGATTCCACCCCACAGAAAAAGAGTTGGTCCACTATTATTTGCAGATGAAGCTCGAGAGAATGGATTACATTGTTAGCGACGTCATCAGTGAAATCAATATCTGCAACCACGAGCCAATGGACTTGCCTGATAATTATTTGTGTTGATGCACAAAACCGGAAGGTCTTGGGACAACGTAAATCCGGCCGTGAATATGCAAGAAAGTAAAGAACACAATATGTATCGTGGTTCACCTCAATGTTTGGACTACGTCCACACTGATGTTGATATTGTTTCACTCTGAATGGCGAATATACAAAAAGGCTAAAGGCAGTGTGCTCTCTTCCCATGGCTTAAGACTTGGCCTCCCCTAATAAGGAGAATGAGGCCTGAGGATTGTGAGGGTGAGGAGTCCCTTTTATAGACTAAGGGCTCCTCACTTATTACATATTTGCCCCTTCATTTATTACATAATTACACTTGAGTCCCCCGAGTATTTATACGAGATCTAAATACGGAGGCCCTAAGTATGGTATAAACAGTAGTCCCCCAAGTCTTCAATCAATAGAGGCTGTTGGCTGGAGACTTCAAATTCAATTCATGTATGGGCCGAAGTGGCGGTTTGTTCGAAGGCCGTTTTTGTATACCATGCACTGAAGCTTTGTAGGTGAAGCTTTTAAGGTGAAGCTTTGAAGCTGGAGCTCTGTAAATGAAACTTTCGAAGCTGATTGACATGAGTGATGCTCATGAATGTTGACATAAGTGATGCTTATGAATGTTGACATGAATGACGGTCATGAATGTTTATGTATGATTGACATGAGTGATGCTCATGAATGTTTATGTATGATTGACATGTGTGATGCTCATGAATGTTTATGTATGATTGACATGAATGATGCTCATGTATAATTTTGGAGTACTAAACGTACTTTTGTTCACCTAGTGGGTGATAATAGCAGCAGGC